CTCCTGTTCCTGCTCTTGCTTCATCGGCTTGATCGGCTTGATCGGCTGATTCGGCTGATTCTTCTCCTCTCGTTCCAGCTGCGGCTGCTCCTTGTGACCTTGCTCCTGTTTCACCTCGCGCCTGAGTTCCTTCGTCTCATGGGCTTCTTTCTCCTGCTCCTCCTCGCTCAGCTGCTCAGCTTTCTTCTCTTGCTCCTCCTCCTTCAGCTGCTTCTCGGCTTCCTTTTCCTCCTCTTCTTCCAGCTTCATCGGCTTCATCTGATCGGCTTCTTTCTCCTCCTCGTTCACCTGCTCGGCTTTCTTCTCTTCCTTCAGCTGCTCCGCTTTCTTCTCTTGATTCTCCTCTTCGTCCTCCTTCTCTTGTTCCGGCTTGATCGGCTTGATCGGCTCCTTGTGCCCTCGCTCCTGTCGTATCGCTTCTAAGACGATTTTCACCTCGTGCCTGAGTTCCTTCAACTTCAAGGCGGCGGCGTCCATGGCTTCTCCCGAGACGGCCTCACAGACACGATCTTGGACCTTCAGCTTCGAGGCCGCCGCGTCCATGGCTTCCGGGTGGACCTTGTTGTCGCCCTTGTGCGCCTTTTTTGGTCGAAAGAGAGACCACAAACCTGTGACGCATCCACTGCGCTCCTGCTCTGTTCGCGCCATAGCTTGCCCTTTGCAAAATGCCTTTAATGCCCTAACCCTTACTAAATCTATTTCACTTTAATGCGTTCGTTTACATTTCTCGGCAGTGACTTAGGCAGCGCCCTGGCTCTTGAAACTCAGGCACGCTGGAACCAGCTCACAGGCTGCATCCCAGAAGATGTTTACACATTCTCATCTCTCAATATCTAGACTTGAGTCTGGAACAAGTCCCTGGAGCTGGTTTCTAATGCTTCCAGCTTGAGAGTGCTCATCAAACGAGCTACCAGATACCATCTGACCTCAGTAAACTTTCCAGAAGAAAACAAAGAAACGAGATGGTAGCTATAGTAAGTACAGTCTTTATGTGCTTTCTTTGTTGGTGAATGTTTAGATGCTTACCCTAGATGTGCCATTCTTAACATGCAAACTTCCTGACATGACAAAACTTCAAGAGCATTGAATTCACAAGGTAAGTGCTCTCTATCATTCTCCTTAAAGCTTATGCTTTACGTCATGCAGGAAAATGCAAGTAAATTTTGGTCATGTTTGCTGTTGAGCTGCATCTTGTTACCAAGCACACATACTTCTGCCACCAATTTGCTTTTTGAAACTGTTGTATGACATTGAATTTAGTAGACACAAAACTTTTTATTTGTTCTTTTTTAGATACAACATCCTATGAGTCCATTCTGAGTTCATCATCAAGCTCAAGTGGTTCAGAGGAAGGAGGAGAAGCTGTTTTTAGTGATGGAGAGCATGTGGAGTTCGAGGACAATATTAGGGATGATGCTATTGCTTATATGGTGGAAGAATCGTCATCAGATGGAGATCAAGATGCAGAGAAACTTATTTTCGGTCTCAAGGAGATATTTGATTTCAGCCATATCCCACTAAAGAAGCAATCTTGAATTCTGAATAAAGAAGAACAGTATTTCTCTATATTACAAACAATGCTTTATGAGGGATGCAAGTTGTCTAGCTTCCCAACTTCAACAATTTCAAATAATACACTGTTATGACCCAGCACTAAATAACAAAGACAAAGATGTTTAACCTTGCATAAACTATGTTATGCCTTCTCTTGAGGTTCCTTTAATTATTCTACATATAGTTGAGTTATCAAATAGTGATTAAAAGTCTCTTCCTTTAATCAGAATAGTCTTTTTTGTCATCTTTACTTTGCAAATTTTGCAACTTTTTAATATTCAACTTAATGCTAATAAAAGATTAACTATTCTTTTTTCTTTATTACTTATTCTTCAATTGTGAATAATCAATTTTATAATATCCAAGTTCACCACAATGATGACATAAATTGGTGATGATCATAAATTTGGAATCTAACTTGCCACAACACTTGATACAATCCTTTCTACTAAGCAAAGAGCCCTTTAGGTAAATTATATACTATAAATTTGGAAAAATAAACAAATACCAATCATCCACTTTATACTTCAGATATGGATAATAATGAGAATTGTAACATTGCTATTGTCTCATTTATATGTGGTAGAAATGTTTAACAAACTTCGCTCCAAGTAGTTATAAAGTAACGAAAAGGAACGACTTGAGAGATGATCCATAGGGGTTCAAATATAAAAAGAAAAGGCCCATGAAAAAGAGTGCACCCCCTTTTCCAATCAATTAAGGGTCTTGGGATATTTGGGGTTAAGTGTCCTTGGGTTTGAATAATATTGGGTTGGGTGGTGACCTCCCGGAAAATGCAGATTCAAAAGTTTACAGTAGTGCAAAAATGGTAATCAAATATTAATCCCAGGTCCTAGCAACTCATAGCAATTGTAAAATTAAACTCAACTCTATTGGTAATGTTAGATCATGACCATATATAATACTTTATATGGTAAAACACCCTATACCCCTATGATATACACATATTGAAGACATGAAAAATAACAATCCTAATCTCAATATTAAAAATTCTTATACATTGTGATCATCCTTTTAAAGGTCCAATCAGCTATTTCACCAAATCATTCATTTGAGGATGATAAACAGTTGTGAAAATGTGATATCCTTAGTTATCCAAGTTCACCACAATGATGACATAAATTGGTGATGATCATAAATTTGGAATCTAATTTGCCACAACACTTGATACAATCCTTTCTACTAAGCAAAGAGCCCATTAGGTAAATTATACACTGTAAAATTTGGAAAATAAACAAATACCAATCATCCACTTTTGTAGCGCACTTGGTTTTTACCTCCTATCCTATGGTGATTTACCATAGGATAACACTATGAAGCGGAACCTAAACCCTCCATGTGCCATGTGTCATATGCCATGTGTCACATGCCACGTGTCCAAAGGACAGTGGTGTGGAACCTGAGGTTCAATGCCTTGGGCCACTAAACGAAAGAACAAATTCCAAACTCCCAAGCATGGAGTTGAGTGACGGAACTGGACCACAAAGCAACTCCCAAGCATATAGCCCAAGGAGTGAAGGGACAGGAGCCTAGAGTAACTTGGAACAATCCTAGAGCAACCAGCATCCTAATGACAGGATCAGTATGCAAAACGGAGCCAAATGGAGTCTAGTGCTATTTTGGCATACCGGTGGCCTAACATAAAAACATGGGTACTTCACCAGCTAACATGGTGTGGAACTTGGGGTTAGACCTAAGCCAAATGCAAAACAAAGACAAGCATGTAAGCAAGAGTTAAACTATGCCTCAGGTTGATCGGCTATGCGCAACCTACCCACTATCCCTACTATACATTTGGAACCCCCCATAGCCTCCCTCCCCCCCCTTTGAGGAACACACGCTTTGGGCTTTCACCCCAAGCCTCCCTTAGTACCAGAAGTTAGTCTCTAGAACAAATTTGAAACTTACTAAATATGGAATGTTCTTAGATTGCAAATTTGGACACGAGACGAACATCATTGTGTTCATGAGAATCTCTACATTCCGTAAATATGCCAAATAAGTAAATTTGGACACTTTTTATAAATAGCATTTAAGACCAAAATGAGACTAACACAAAAAGTATGATAGCAAGGGTGTTTGGCAGACACGATAAGCTATCATCTAACAATATTGAGGGACCAAGCTCAATATCGCGGGGGTTCTTAATACTAGCAAGTACAAGCCAATGACATAAGTTTCTCAAACTAGGCCGAGTATGCTCAGCAAGAAACACATAGGGGTTCCTACCTTATATTTATCCAATCTAAGTCCATGGTTATTGACCAATTTCTCAACTAGCCCAAGTGGGAACTGATAACAGGTCTAGCAATACTAACCTCCTGCTATCGTGGCAGTAAGGAAATTGTGTCCATAAGGACTAGCCGACAAGTAACTTTCGATACCCAAAGTCACATTCGTGACAACTTTATACATAACATTACTATTATCTCATTTATATATGGCAGAAGTGTTTAACAAACTTTGCTCCAAGTAGTGCAAGAATGGTCATCAAATATTAATCTCAGGTCCTAATATTATCAACTTATAGCAATCGTAAAAGTAAACTCAACTTTATTAGCAATGTTAGATCATGACCATATATAATACTTTATATGGTAAAACACCCTATACCCCTATGAAATACACATATTGAAGACATAAAAAATAACAATCCTAATCTCAATATTAAAAATTCTTATACATTGTGATAATCTTTTTGAAGGTCTAATAAGCTATTTCACCAAATCATTCATTTGTGGATGATAAACACTTGTGAAAGTGTGATATATCCTTAGTTAAGATGTCAAAATATAAAATGCCTCATCCATAAATGTAGAACTATTGTCTAAGAAAATCAGCTCTAGATGAGAATGCTAAAACACCACTCAATTAAGGAGAAAGCATTTAATACCAGTCATAGATGTACTAGCATTAGCACCAACTTCCACCCACTAAGTAAAGTAGTAAAAAGCAATAATAACACACTTATTGATAGTAATTGACTATGAAAAAGGCCCTATCAAATAAAATGCCACCAATTCAATATCAAACTACAATTAACTCTAATTATCTTACAACAATAAAGATAGTATTATAAGTTTAGTACCAAACTCAACTATGCACATATCAAATAACATCATATCATATCTTTAACCAATAGAAAAATTTATATAACTTCTTAGTCATATGATGATATTTCATATGCCTAACTTGAATAGAAGAGTTATTATGGGTGTGGAGAAAACATAGAATAAGGCACCACTAGCCTTAAATATGTATCAAAATTAGTCTTCACAAAGTAAAAATGGTCATCCTCAAAGTGATATTGAAAATATAAATATCAAAATAGCAAGTATCTTGTAGATATTGAATATCAAACACAACAACTGATAGTGATATAAAATCTTTGTTTAAAAACTCTACTAATATTGAAATAATAGACTTGTCAAGAATATAAGAAGAGAGTAAAAAAAGGAGAGGTCAAGAAAGAGTATAAGCATTACCTAGAGCGATAAATAACCTCAAAATTATATAGCTGAAAGTTTTAGATCCTACTAAGTTGTAAAACTAGCTATAGTGCACCTTATCTCTCTCTCCTTAAGCCAACTAAAAAAGGGGCCATTAATTAATAAGAGAGCTTTTAGTGGCTATTTTATCTCTATTTATCCCCCAAGATTCCAAGGATCCACAGTGATAGTATATGCAAATCTCATTTCATAATCACATATGTTACACTCATCCCCCTTTCAGAGATGTCAATGTCCTCATTTACTATTGATTAATAACCCCTACTGAGTCAAGGGGAATCAACACCTCCATTTCTACACTGAATTTACTAATCCTTCCATTATATAGATTAGCTATTCCAAGAGAATCAACACCTCCATTTCCGTACTAAATTTACCAATCCTTCAATTGTGTAGATTAGTTATTCCATGTGAGGCAACTAGTCATTCACTCGTACCGTAGTCCCACGGTGAATACCTTCGTTCATGGATGCTCTACCAAAAGGAAGGACGTACGCATAGATGCCCACTAATCAATAGAATTTGAACCCATGCCATTTGCTCTGATACCGTACTATCTTTCTC